AATTCAGAAAAACGCATGTCAAAAAAATTATGAATTGACATGCATGTCAATGAGTGAAATAAGTATTTGACTTCTTCGACTTAGTACGTGGTGGCAAAACCATTGTTTGCAATCACAGTGGTCAGACGTTTCTTGTAGTTGGCCACCAGGTTTGCACAAATGTCTCAGGAGGGATTTTGTCCCACTCCTTTTTGCAGATCCTCTCCAAATCAGCTTTCGAGGCTGACATTTGGCAACTCGAACCTTCAGCTCCCTCCACAGTTTTTCTATGGGATTAACGTCTGGAGACTTGCTAAGCCACTCCTTTGTTGCCTTGACTGTGTGTTTTGTCTCATTGTCATGCTGGAATACCCATTCATTTCAATGCACTGGCTGAGTGAAGGAAGTTCTCACCCAAGATTTGACGGTACATGGCCCCGTCCATCGTCCCCCAAAGCATAATGTTTCCACCTCCATATTTGATGGTGGGGACGGTGTCATAGGCAGCATTCCTCCTCCTCCAAACGCGGCGAGTCGAGTTGATGCCAAAGAGCTCGATTTTGGTCTCATTTGACCACAACACTTTCACCCAGTTCTCCTCTGAATCATTCAGATGTTCATTGGCAAACTTCAGGCGGGCCTGTACATGTGCTTTCTTGAGCAGGGGGACCTTGCGGGCACTGCAGGATTTCAGTCCTTCATGGCGTAGTGTGTTACCAATTCTCTATTTGGTGACTTAGGTCCCAGCTGCCTTGAGATCATTAACAAGATCCTCCCGTATAGTTCTGGGCTGATTCCTCACCGTTCTCATTATCATTGAAGGTGAGATCTTGCATGGAGCACCAGACCAAGGGATACTGACAGTTATTTTGTGTGTCTTCCATTTGTGAATTATCACACTGACTGTTCTTACCTTCTCACCAAGCTACTTGGCGATGGTCATGTAGCCAATTCCTGCCTTGTGTAGGTCTACAATCTTGGACAGCTCCAAGGACAGCTCTTTGATCTTGGCCATGGTGGAGAGTTTGGAATCTGATTAATTGCTTCTGTGGACAGGTGTCTTTTATACAGATAACGAGCTAAGATTAGGAGCACCCCCTTTAAGAGAGTGCACCTAATCTCAGCTTGTTACCTGTATAAAAGACACGCGGGAGCCAGAAATATTGATCGATATATATAAAACTTTTTTGACATTTTTCTGGATTTTTTTTTTCTTATTCTATCTCTCACTGTTAAAATACACCTATCATTAAAATGATAGACTGATCATTTCTTTGTCAGCTGGGGTTCAAATACTTTTTTCCCTCACTGTAAGTGAAATTCAATTTTCTGATTAACATTGAAGTTGATACTTTGTTGAGCATATACTGAGTAGTTTTGCATGGAGGGTTTCTTCCCTGCAAGCATTGACCGAGAGGTTTGTGACAAAAGACCAGAGATTTTGCCCCAAATCTAACTACTCTTTGTTCGCCTAGTCCCATGGGCGTCCGCAGGAATTTTTCCAGGGGGGGGGCATAATTGCAATGACATCCATGCTTGGTACCTTTTTGACAGAGTCATGAAAGGGAAGGGGCATAGCTATTATCACATAAAGCCAGGGTTAATAGCGTTTTCACAACTATGGTGTCAGGAATATATGTTTGCATTCCTGACACTATAGTGTTCCTTTAAGCAAATTAAAGGACCATTCTGGTCACCATAACAACTTCACCTAAATGAAAATGCTATGATGCCAGGAAGCCCCTGGGTGCTCGCTTTCCTTTAAGGGGTTAAATCGCTCTCAAATGGTTTAACCCCAAAGGCTTCCTCCAGCTCCAGGTCGCTCAGTGGTATTTGGCTTCTGAAATAGAGTGTCAGGAAGTGCAGGCATGGGTGCCGCTGATTGGCTAGAGTGGACAGTTGACGCTCTAAGCCAATCGCTACTTCCATAAAATATTTGTACTTTTTTATGAATGGGGAGCTACTGATTGGCTTAGAGTGCCAGCTGACCACTCTAGCCAATCAGCAACACCCCTACCCAATGGCACTCTGTGCTTCCTGACACTCAGTAAATAAAAGTGAACACATTAATACTGATATTTTTTTACCTTTGGAGATGAGAAGGTCCAGCGTTTCCCTGCCTGGCCCAGGTACCAAAGCCTTATGATGTGGTGTCCAGAATAAAGTGGAGGGTTCACTTCATTTGTCCTTCCTGCTCCAATCTCCTTTTCCTCTCCTTCATTTGACAGTCTTTTTTTTTCTTCTGACACTGTTTTCTATCCTTGGCCCCTTCTGCTCTTTTACCTTTCTGCTACTTTCTGCTTATTTTGCGCCCTTCTGCTCCTTTCTCATTCTGATCCCTTTCTGCTCCTTGCAGACCCTTTCTGCTGCTCCCATTTCTACTTTACCTTTGTGCTCCTTGCTGTCCCTTTCTGCTCCCTTTTCTACTTTACCTTTGTGCTCCTTGCTGTCCCTTTCTGCTCCCTTTTCTACGTTACCTGAGTGCTCCTTGCTGTCCCTTTCTGCTCTTTCTCCTGCTTTACCTTTGTGCTCCTTCTGATTCTTTCTACTCCTTTACCTTTGTGCTCCTTGCTGTCCCTTTCTGCTCCTTTACCTTTGTGCTCATTGCTGCCCCTTTCTGCCCCTTCCTGCTCCCTGCTGCCCCTTCCTGCTCATTCTCCTACTTTACCTTTGTGCTCCTTCTGCCCCTTCCAGCTCATTTCTGACCCTTTCTGCTCCTTCTACTTTACCTTTGTGCTGCTTTACCTTCCAGCTCCTTGCTGACCCTTCATGTTCATTTCTGTTCCTTTGTGCTCCTTCTCCTACTTTACCTTTTGTGCTCCTTGCTGTCTCTTCCAGCTCCTTGCTGCCCCTTTCTGCTCCTTGATGTCCCTTCCTGCTCATTTCTTTCCTTCTCCTTTTCTTACCTTACCTTCCTGCTCCTTGCTGACTCTTCATGTAGGCTGTCTCCCCCATCCCTCACTTCTATAGGCGGGCGCACGGGGTGTGTCGGGTGTCCCCGCGGCACGCCAATGGATTGAGACCAGCAGGAGAGATCTCTGGATCTCCCCGGTCGGCTCATGCAGAGCCGGCGCTATCCGAGCGGCGGCTCTGGTCTAAGCCTCCATGGGTCGGTGGGGAGATCAAAGTTCTACCTTACCGGTCCACAGCAGCATGGAGGGAGGCAGCAGAGAACCCGGGCTAGATTTCACTCTCCACTGAACCACCAGGGAAGGCAGCAGGACTGGGATATTAACTAGTCTGCCCCCACCTTCGCCCAAACATACAGCACACACAGCCCACAAACAGCACCCACACACACACACACAGCACCTACACACATACATCACCCTCGCACACACAGCATCCACACACATACAACACCCACACACACCCAGCACACTAACAGCATCCTCACAAACCCACACACAACACCCGCACAGCACACTCTCATACAAACAGCACCCTGACAAACACACGACACCTGCACACAAACAGCACACTAACAGGACCCGAACAAACATGCACACACACAGCACACTACCAGTTCCCTCACAAACAGCACCCTCACACACAACACACTAACAGCACCCTCACACACACACACAGCAGTGTGTGTGTATACACACACACATATATATATATATATATATATATACACACATACATATACACATGGCGTGTGTTTGTGCTTTAGGGTGCACACTAATATATAGCCTGCCCTCCCCAAATCTATAGGCAGCTGCCCCCCCAAATCTAGAGGCTGCTGCCCCCCAAAAAAATCTAGAGGCTGCTGCCCCCCCCCAAAATCTATAGGCTGCTGCACCCCCCCAAAAAATCTATAGGCTGCTGCACCCCCCAAAAAAATCTATAGGCTTCTGCCCCCCCCAAATCTATAGGCTGCTGCTCCTCCCCCCAAATCTATAGGCTGCTGCCCCAAAAAATCTATAGGCTGCTGCCCAAAATCATAGGCTGCACTTTAAATCTATAGGCTGCTGCCCCAAATCTACAGGCTGTTGCCCCCAAAATCTACAGGCTGCTACCCCAAAATCATAAACTGCCTTTAAAAATCTATAGGCTGCTGCCCCAAATCTATAGACTGCTGCCCCCAAAAATCTGGGCTGCACCTTTAAAATCTATAGGCTGCTGCCCAAAAAAATCTATAGGCTGCCGCCCCCCCCCCAAAATCTATAGGCTATCTCAAGAAGCAGAGAGAAGCAGGGATAAGATGCAGCTTCCTATCCCTGTCTCTCTCCATACACGGCGCCGGTATTGCAGTTCATTCTAAATCTCACACGAAAAAAGCAGAACAAGCTGAAAAATCCAGGGGGGGGCAAGTGCCCCCCCTTGCCCCCCCCTGCGGACGCCCATGCCTAGTCCCATTAATTTATTTCTTTGTTCCCCATGTATTTCGTCTGTTGGTTTCACGTATTCATCCGCTTATAGAAATGTGGTTAATGACATTTACTGTCCACACAGGAAAAGTTGGGCCGAGCAGCAACCTAATCCACAGAAGGGTTTATGCTGAGCAGCAATTATGCAAATGAAACCTGGTGTCACATATTTATCCGCTTATATAAATGTGGTTAATGACATTTACTGTCCACACAGGAAAAGTTGTGCAGAGCAGCAACCTAATCCACAGAAGGGTTAATGCTGAGCAGCAATTATGCAAATGAAACCTGGTAACTGACTTTGGGGTCAAAGGCCGGTTACAGCCTATCAGAACTAAAGGAGGGTATTTAGGCCCAGTTCTCATCCTGCTCAGTGCCCTGTCGTGGTTTCCCTTGTGGTTGTCCGAGAGCGCGTTCCTGTTATTAGTTTTCTACCTGGTTTTTGACTTTGGCTTTGTTTATTGACTTCTCTATATTCTGGTATCCTGACTCCTGGCTTTCCTCATTGCTGCGTCCCTTTCTGTGTTCCCTGACCTCGGCTAGTATTTTTGACTATTCTATGTACGTTAAATCCGGCCATTCTAAGGACCGGTAATACGTTACTTATTTGTCATCCGTGCTATACAGTTCAACGTGCTGGATCAAACAGTAATCCTGATATTACGACATGGCCATAGATCCTGTAGAACTGTGTCAGCACATAGCTGCTTGCGAGAGGAAATTAGAGGAGAATGATCACCGCATGGATCAATTCGCTCAGGCTTTCAGTACGCTTCTCGCTAGAACGGCGCATCTGCAGCGTCTCCTCTTATAGCACCTCTACCCTGTGTACCTCCACCCACTGTTAATATGACTTCTAGCATCTCCTTATCGCCACCCCTACAGTTTGATGGCAATATCCAGGAATGCAGGGGTTTTCTTAATCAGGTGGAGTACCATTTTGAGGCCTCACCAGGGTCGTTCCCCATGGACAGAGCAAAAATTGGTTATCTAATGAATCAATTAAAGGGCAAGGCCCTTGCCTGGGCTAATCCGTTGTGGGAGAGTAATCGGAGCATAGCTCAAAATTACCAGGAATTCCTTGCCGAATTCAAGCTCACGTTTGAGCCATTGGGTAGAGAGGATGAGGAAGCCCTAATGCACATCAGACAAGGTAACCGGTCTATCTCGGATTATGCTATTGAATTCCGTAACTTAGCTTCCGAGGTAGACTGGACTAACAATGGATTAATCTCAGCATTCAAAAAGGGTCTCTCAGAGACTATACTAGATGAGATAGCCGCTAAAGAATTACCTAAGAGTCTTAACAAATTTATTAAGTTTGTCATGCATATTGATAATAGGTTAAGACTCAGAGAAGTCACCAGAAGCAAGACCAGATGTACGGCTATGTCCCTAGCACCTCAATTCTCTAAACCTGTTTTGTCTAACCTCCCTGTACAGTCCGAACCCGAACCTATGCAGTTGGGGGTCACTAGACTGTCGGAGGCCGAAAAACAGTATAGGAGAAGGGAGGGGTTATGCATATATTGCGGTAGAAAGGGACATATGATAACTAATTGCCCAGTGCGTCCGCACCTAAGAACCTTAAGGGGACAGATCTTAGGACAGATCTTAGGTGTGATGGAGTTGTCCTCTAACAAAAACAAAAGTAGATTCCTCCTTGAGGTATCTATTTCCCTTGATAACAAGAAGTTTTCCTGTAGTGCCCTAATGGACTCAGGTGCTGCTGGAAATTTTATTGATGTCCAGTTTATTAGGGGTAATGAGATACCGGTCAAGGAGAGACCTACGCCGCTAGCTGTAGAGGCTATTGATGGTAGACCACTCACACAACCGCTTATAACCCACGAAACTGTCCCTATTACGATCTCTATTGGGGCATCCCATAGGGAGGAGATGACGTTTCAGGTTATTACTTCTCCATCATGTCCTATCATATAAGGGTTTCCGTGGCTGAGTAAGCACAATCCCTATATTGACTGGGCTAATGGGGAAATATTGGAATGGAGCAAGAAGTGTATGGGGAGATGTATAAAACCAGTACTAAAGAGATTGGATACTATTGACCTTCCCACTACCACTCCCCAAACTCCTGGAGTTCCCATACAATACCGAGAACTTCAGGAGATGTTTAACAAGGCTCAATCCGATGTATTGCCTCCCCACAGAGCATATGACTGTGCCATTAACCTGTTTCCAGGCGCTATACCACCTAAGGGGGCAGTTTATGCCTCATCTCCCCAGGAGAGTAAAATAATGGAGGAATACATCAAAGAATCGTTGAGCAAAGGGCACATAAGAAAGTCATCCTCACCAGCTGGTGCAGGATTTTTTTTTGTTGAGAAAAAGGGTGGTGAGTTACGCCCTTACATAGACTACAGGGCACTTAATAAAATCACTGTAAAAAATGCATACCCTATCCCACTCATTTCCAAATTGTTCGATAGACTTCAGGGAGCTAAAGTATTTACTAAGCTTGACCTTAGGAGCCCTTACAATTTGGTTAGAATTAAAGAGAATCATGAGTGGAAAACGGCATTTAATACCCGTAGTGGGCACTATGGATATCTGGTAATGCCATTTGGGTTATGCAATGCCCTGGCTGTATTCCAAGACTTTATAAATGATGTACTCAGGGAATTGATTTACTCATTTGTCTTGGTTTATTTGGACGATATTTTGGTGTATTCCCCTGATCTTCAAATTCACCACTCCCATGTGAAACAGGTTCTGCAGATGTTGTTGAAAAATAAACTTTATTGTAAATTAGAAAAGTGCATATTTGACCAGCCTGAAGTCCACTTTTTGGGTTACAACATCTCTGCATCGGGATTTCAAATGGATCCTAAAAAACTAGAGGCTGTACTACACTGGCCATTACCCATGGTTTAAAAGCCATTCAAAGGTTTATTGGTTTTGCCAACTATTACAGAAGATTCATCAAGGGATTTTCTTCTGTAATAGCCCCCATCACTAATATGACTCGCAAAGGGGTTAGTAGCATGGTATGGTCCAAAGAGGCTGTGAATGCTTTTGAGACTCTTAAACAAAGATTTGCCTCTGCGTACATACTAAAACATCCCGACACCAGTAAACCTTTTATATTGGAGGTTGATGCGTCCGAGACAGGGGTAGGGGCTGTTCTCTCTCAGAGAGAAAGCCAGGGAGCACCATTGCATCCTTATGGCTACTTCTCCAGAAAGATGTCTCCTGCTGAGCGCAACTACGATATTGGCAATAGAGATCTGTTGGCCATTATTCTTGCCCTCAAGGAGTGGCGACATCTTTTGTAGGGTTCCAAGGACCCCCTGTTGATCATAACCGACCACAAAAACCTGGCACATATAGGGGATGCCAAACGTTTGTCTTCCAGACAGGCTAGATGGTCACTGTTCCTTTCACGTTTTAACTTCCTCATTACTTATAGACCTGGTTCTAAAAATACCAAGGCTGATGCCTTGTCCAGGCAATTTGATAATGAGTCAGCTCCAGAACAAGTGACATCTCTTATTATTCCACCAGAGTGTATTATTGCTACTACTGTCCTCTCTCTGTCTTCTCCACTGCTTGGCACCATACTGGAGGCCCAGCCTCAGGCGCCCAGTGGTAAAGCGTGTGATAAACTGTTCGTTCCCCTATGTGAAAGGGTTAATATCATGAAAGTGTTCCATGACAATATAACTGCTGGACACCGGGGCATCAATAAGTCCACTGCCGCGATCACTAGATCATTTTGGTGGGATTCACTCAGGAAAGATGTAATGGAGTATGTGCAGGCATGTTCTGTGTGTGCAGTTTCTAAGGTGACTCATGCACTTCCTTGTGGCCTGTTGCAGCCTCTTCCTGTTCCTGAGATTCCATGGTCCCACTTATCCATGGACTTTATTGTTGAGGGTTCACTACTATTCTAATGGTTTTAGACCGATTTTCTAAGATGGCTCACTTCATTCCTCTCAAGAAGTTGCCATCTTCGCAAGAATTGGTCCTAATTTTCATACTTAACATTGTCCGTTTGCATGGCATCCCTCACAATATTGTGTCTGATAGGGGCTCTCAGTTTGTGTCCAGGTTCTGGAGGGCGTTCACTAAACAATTGGGGATTGATCTCTCCTTCTCCTCCTCCTACCATCCACAGACCAATGGTACAGCTGAGAGGGCTAACCAGTCATTAGAAGTTTATTTGCCGAGTTCGCTAGAAACAATGCTGTTCATGACTCCTCTAAGCACAGTCCATTTTTTGTCAATAACGGTAGGCATCCTACGGTTCTACCTGCGGTATTTTCTGATACTGCCATTCCTGCTCTGGATGAGCGTCTGGCCTCCATTCGGGATACCTGGGTTAAAGTTCAAACTGCTCTAGGGGCTGCTGCTGAACGCTTCAAACATTTTGCTGATAAGAGTAGGAGTGCCAACCCGGTGTACCAAGTGGGGGACCGGGTTTGGTTGTCATCTCGCAACATCAAGCTTAAGGTCCCTAGCATGAAGTTTGCCCCCAGATTACTTGGTCCCTATAGAGTGCTTTGTAGGATCAATCCAGTGTCTTTCTCTCTGGCTCTTCCTGCATCTTTAGGGATTCCCAACACTTTTCATGTGTCCTTACTCAAACCTCTTGTCTGCAATAGATAAACTGTTCCTTGTGTTCCTCCCCCTCCGGTGGTGGTGGGTGGTCAGGAGGAGTATGAGGTATCTTCTGTCGTGGATTCTAGGTTTTCACGGGGCACTTTACAGTACTTGGTTGTTTGGAAAGGTTACGGTCCTGCTGATCGTTCTTGGGTTTCGGCTCCTGACCTGCATGCATAATATCCGCGCTTTTCACGCCAGATTTCCTCTCAAGCCTGGTCCTGCCCGCCCGGTGGGCGTTCCTCAGGTGGGGGGTAATGTCACGTATTCATCCGCTTATAGAAATGTGGTTAATGTCCACACAGGAAAAGTTGTGCAGAGCAGCAACCTAATCCACAGAAGGGTTAATGCTGAGCAGCAATTATGCAAATGAAACCTGGTAACTGACTTTGGGGTCAAAGGCCGGTTACAGCCTATCAGAACTAAAGGAGGGGTATTTAGGCCCAGTTCTCATCCTGCTCAGTGCCCTGTCGTGGTTTCCCTTGAGCGTGTTCTTGTTATTAGTTTTCTACCTGGTTTTTGACTTTGGCTTTGTTTATTGACTTCTCTATATTCTGATATCCTGACTCCTGGCTTTCCTCATTGCTGCGTCCCTTTCTGTGTTCCCTGACCTCGGCTAGTATTTTTGTACATTAAATCCGGCCATTCTAAGGACCGGTAATACGTTACTTATTTGTCATCCGTGCTATACAGTTCTACGTGCTGGATCAAACAGTAATCCTGACAGTTGGTTCGTCTGAAGTGTGCCGCTAATTGACCACACAGGCTCGTGGTTAAACACTGTGAAACTGCTGAACGGATGGGGGGTTGCCGTTCGTATGCACGAACAAAGCAGCGGTGTCTTGTCGTTCAGTGCGTGGAACTATTTTCGGACACTCGATGGCAAGAAACACTGCTAGGACTTCCATATGCTTGTAATTGTAAAACTCTTGAACTCTTTTGGGCAGACGCCTCGTGTGTGGCCGGCTAACTTTGACTTCCATGAAAATCCCAAACCCCTGTACTGATCTGGGTGATTTTTGGATATGTTTGTCGCCCAGATCGGGGATATCAGGGGATATCACTTTTGTGGGGTTGCCATGTTGTTTAGGGGTACTTTCGGGGTACCAGTAAAATAGTGTACTTTTGTGCTGGGAGATTATTGAGTTAGATAAGCTTAGCTCTTGATTCAATTATCTCCCCAAGCACAGAAGAGGGAGTTTTCAACTGTAAAATCATGTTGATTG